AGGAGATACCCTGAGACCCGGGGAGCGAAGAGCCAGGCTGGGCACAACCTCGCAGAGAGCAGGCACACTCCTGGACGGAGACCCAGTGAGGACACTAAAATGTGTAACATACACACCGTCGCGCATCTTTCATAGGAAGGGGTTTATTCCGAGAAAACCTGCCTAACGGACGGTGCCGGCAGTCTGGGCTACAAGTAGGAACCGTGGAAGACAAGCCCCATCTCCCAGGATCGCACCTGCCAGACCAACGCATCAGGTCGGGTCTCCACCCTGCAGTGTAGGCAGGGAGGGGAGGATGCAGTGTAGACGGGGAGGCTGCAGTGCTGGGGCCACGGGGTTCAGCCTCAGCTCTGTGGTGTCACCCACACCGGGCGTGTGCGGCCCCCACCAGCTCCTGACAGCATCCCCAGGCTCCTGTCCGTCCACAGCCAGTGATCCCATGGGGTCCTGGGGCCGGCAGGACAGAACCACCTATCACCCTCCTGGAAGCACACTCTGAAGACTCCTGTCTCCTCTCTACGCTGGAGCCACAGTCATTGAAAAAAATCCACAAGTAACGACTAGAGACTGACAGAAGGCAATGGCTGGGCTGGAAGCTCTATTGGCAAGTGGAGCAAAGGCTGCTGGGACTGCCGACGAGAACCCAGAGGGCGAGCCCCGGGTCCACACCTGCCAAGCTGCGGACGGAGTCGAGGTGGGCTCTGCCTCCAAAGATGGGGGCCCCGGGTCCCCGGGAGGCCAGGGAAAGGACCCAGCAGAGCAGGGAGGGCAGCTTCTGCTTGTTCTCACTGCGCTATGTCTCCACTGGGGACAGGAGATAGAGGGATTCCCTTGATAACATGTTTAGAAAATTAAAAATGACACATCAAAGCGGCAAACCCAGGTAACACTGAGCGGGGTGATCAGCTCAGGGATCCCAGTTGATAAGGCTGTTACAGATTTTCTGAACATAAACACCCACGGACACCACACTCACGACTCCCTCGACCCTGGGCCCCAGTGACCACACTCTGGGACCCCCTTCTGGGGAGGAAAGAACTAACTGTAGGACAGGACAGGGACAGGCTCCTGAGCAGCCATGACCAGCAAGCGTCCAGAACCAGTGTGACGCTGAGTGTTGGAACCCAAGGAAGAGCATCTTAACCCGAGGTTAACAACTGCGGTTATCTTTTAAAACCTCTCTCTGTGTTAGTCACTCAGTCGTGTCCGACTCCTTGCGACCCCAGGGACTGTAGCCCACCAGCCTCCTCTGTCCATGGCATTTTCCGGGCAAGAATACTGGAGTGCGTTGCCATTTCCTTCTGCAGGGGATTTTTCTGACCCAGGGATCAAACCTGGGTCTCCTGCATTGCAGGAAGATTCTTTACCATCTGAGCCACCAGGGAAGCCCTTTTTAAAACACTGTTCCCTTTTTAATTATAAAATCCTATTCAAATTCACTGATGATTTAATGACACTAATTAGATTGTGTGCTCAAGAAATCTGTCTGACAAACACCACTGCCAAATGTCACCAACAACATGATGGCTTGTGAGGAGAGCGGAAATCATCAAAACAGAGGCCGGCTGATAGGATGACGGTTACATAATTTTAAATGGCTTCAGACGAATGATCTCTGCTATAAACAGAGAAACAATTAAAGCACAGAGAACACGTCACCTTGAGAAGGTTTCTGAACTGTGTTTCTGGGGCTCCCATCCTTTCTGTGGGCTTCTGGCCTGAAGGTCTGGGAGGCTGGGGGACCCCCGGCGGAGGAGCTCTGTCTCCAAAGATGGGGGCCCCCAGGTCACCAGGAGGCCAGGTAAAGGTCCGGAAGAGATGGGCTGCCCTGACCTTTCAGGCTTCTGAGGTGATAGCAAGAGGCAGGACTCTGATGGCAAAAGTTCAAGAAGCCTGCGGGTGAGGAGGAGAGGAAGCCACATCACAGGGGCCAGCAGTGTGAGTGGGCAGGCCCAGGGCGAGCTCTTCAGATTGCTTTCGGGAGTCACAGAAAACAGGAGGCTGAAGCTTCAAGGACAAAACGGATCGGGCAGCCTGTGGGGAGTGCTCACTGGTACTGAAAGGCAGTTATCTAGACTGACTTTGGTGAGGACCTAGTCCTGCAGCAACTGAGAGCTTCATCCCAGTCCTGAAAACCCACGTGTGGCTCAGGGCCAAAGACCCCCCTCGGGGCGGGGCCTCAGCGGGAAGCCCCACCCCCTCCCTCGCCACTGCTACCCCTCGGCCCCCACACCCATCCCCCCTGCACGTGATGGGGCCCCGGCTACCCCGAGGCAAGGCAGGTCCAGGCCACACCCCACAGAGCACCCCCCAGGGGCTCCGTCTCCTCCCAGCAGCAGGAGGACAGGCGCTTGGCGCCAGGGGGGCAAAGGGCATCGCCCTGGCTCTCAGGACCCTTGCCCGATCCATCCCAAACCCAAGGGTGCTTATTGAAAAGCAGAGGACCACTATGGCTGGGGCGGGGCAGCATCTCTACGGAGACCAGTGACATCTCAATTAGGCGGGAGTGCACGCTGGCTCAGAGCCGTCTACAGGCACAGCCGTGAGGCCTGGGTCCCCAGCAGCTCTGGAGGCTGTTCTCTGCTTGCTGTGTCCGACGCTGACTTCGGCAGCTCCTGGGAGTCGGGGTGGAGAGCCGCAGTGGCAGCGACAACCCTGCCGGGACCCGGGGCCTCAGGCGAGGCTGGCCAGAGGCAGAGACAGACGGTGCACAGTCACTCCGCCCAGCAGCAGTGGGCACGGGCTGGTGGTGCCTGAGGAAGCCGAGGCCGGGCCGGGTGACGTCCGGCTGTGGGCGGCGCTGGTCTCCGAGGGAAGGGTGTCTCAGGAGCACCGCGTGCCACGTGGGATCTTAACTCCCCACGTCGCTGCCGCCCAGCCCCGCAGCCACTGACCACGTGCGACCGCAGTGCCTCTGGTCCACGCGGAAATGGGCCCTGCGTGTCTGGTCCGTGGTGTGCGCCGAGACTCGGCACGGACACAGCCGCGTCTGTGGATCGCGGGTTGAAGTGACACTAGAAATGCGAGGTTAAAGAAAATACCCTGAAATTACTTCTACCTTTAGCACCCAGCTCCCCAGTGGCCCCCAAAGACTCCTGCCTCCTGGTGTCCACCCCTTGGCTGGGCCCCTCCCGGAAGGGTTGATGCCTACGGCAGCACGGCAACACAGCAGGGGTGTCGGGGGGTCACCCTCAGGATCTGGCCAGAAGACACCACCACCTCCTTCTTGGTCACTTGGATCCTGGACGCCCAAGTGAGGAGGGCTTGAGGCCTCCTGCTCAAATCCAGGGGGTGAGTGAGCCGGGAAGGGGGTCCTGCAGGCCCGGCCCAGTTCTCAGATGAGACCACCGCCCTGACCACGCCTGACTGCAGCTCCCGAGAGGCCCCACGGCCCGGCCATCTGCCGGCTGCCCCCAGATCCCCGACCCACGGGAGCTGAGCTGTCTGATAACACACGCTTGTTATTTCAAGGAGCTAAAAATCTTTTGGGTAATTTGTTATATAACAATACATCACTCACACAACCTGGTTTCTTTGGGTGATTTCAGGTGTCTACAGAAAACGAAAGACTACCTATGAATTTTAACGTGCACACATTTCCACTGGACAGCGCTGTTCTAAGTGTGGTGACACACGTGATCACAGATGTTATAACTGGTCCCTCAGCCAAGGGACGTGACTGCTCTGTGCCTCACGAGTGCACGTTTCTTCCTAGAACGTTTGCTTTTAAAATATGGGATTCGAATAAATGTCTGTAGACAGTGAACAGGGCTTCCCACGTGGCCTACTGGTAAAGAACCTGCCTGCCATTGCCAGAGACGTAAGAGATTCGGGTTCGATCCCTGGGTGGGAAAGATCCCCTGGAGGAGGGCCTGGCAACTCACTTCAGCATTCTTGCCTGGAGAATCCCATGGACAGAGGACCTTGGGGGGGCTACAGTCTATAGGGTTGCAAAGAGTTAGACATGACTGAAGTGACTTAGCATACACCAAACAGTAAATACCAAAAAGAAAAAATTATGTTAGCTTTTTCCTTATCCTATCTAAATGAAAACAAATATTAGTGTGGTTTTTTTTTCCCAATTATAAAAAATCAGTGGGAAAAATGAAGAGAGGATGGACAAGTCCCAAGGAGAAAATAAAGACAATTTCTAAACACCTGACCCAGAGGTGACCGCTGCTAATATTTTGGCGCTTCTTTTTGCTGGGGATGTCGCTATTCAGGGACATATGTTTGTAGCTAAAGTCCAGCGACGAGAATTCTCCCCCACTCTAAGCTTCTACAGGGTGACTTTAAGTGCTGTTTCCACTCTTGGCCACATCAGCCAGGATTCCTTCAACCAGCCTCCAAGTGCTGTCACGCAGGTCTAAATGGCCCAGCAAGGAACGTACCCGGGCATCCACCTCAGCCTGGCAGCAGGTCACTGGGGTGGTGCTGGGGGCGGTGGTCCTAGGTGGCAGGGTGAGGGCCAGGCGGAGCAGGCCAGCCCTGGGAGCTTGGGCATGGTCCTGGGCAGCGGGATCACGGGCACACACAGTGGGTTGGCCTGGGGGCTCGGGGTTGGTCCTGGGCAGCAGGATCGCGGGCACACACAGCTGGTTGGCCTGGGGGCTTGGGGTTGGTCCTGGGCAGCGGGATCGTGGGCACACACAGCGGGTTGGCCTGGGGGCTTGGGGTTGGTCCTGGGCAGTGGGATCGCGGGCACACACAGGGGGCCAGTCCGGGGGCTCAGGGCTCGGGGTTTGGTACTGGGTGGCAGGGTCACAGGCACGGACAGTGGGCCGGCCTGGGGGCTCGGGGGTGGTCCTGGGTGGCGGGATCCTGGGGTGCACAGAGTGGGCCGGCCCGGGAGCCGTCGGGCAGGACCTGGGGTGCACGGCGGGCAGGATCTTGGGGCACACAGCGGGCCAGCCCGGGAGCCGTGGGGCAGGACCTGAGGCGCACGGCAGGCTGGCCCTGGTGCACGGCGGCTGCCCTGGCGCCCGAGGCCGGACACTGACCTTGATGTGCTCGTGTAGCTGGGCCTCGTGCTGCCGCGACAGCTGCTCGTGCTGTCTCTGGAACTCGGCGATGAGGATCTGTCTCTGCAGCTGCTGCTTCTGCTTGAGCGCCAGGAGCTCCTGCTGCAGCTGCTGCTCGCGGAGGCCCGGCTCCGCCACGGGCAGCGGGAACTGGTGGTCCAGGCGCAGGTCCATGGGCACCCCCGGGGGGGCCACCGGCAGAGGCAGGGCCGAGGCCACGTCCACTGTGGAGAGAGCACAGCACAGAGGTGCCGGTGATCGAGGGGCCCTCAGTCCCGGCCCGGCCCCGCCCGCCCTGCCCGGGAGCCCACGCTGCCATCAGAGGGACGCCCACGCCAGCATCACAGGGACGCCCAGGCCGCCATCAGAGGGACGCCCACGCCACCATCAGAGGGATGCCCACGCCACCATCAGGGGGACGCCCACGCCAGCATCACAGGGACGCCCACGCCACCATCAGAGGGACGCCCACGCCGCCATCAGGGGGACGCCTATGCCGCCATCACGGGGACACCCACGCCACCGTCACAGGGACACCCATGCCGCCATCAGGGGGACGCCTACGCCGCCATCACGGGGACACCCACGCCACCGTCACAGGGACGCCCACGCCGCCATCAGGGGGACGCCCATGCCACCGTCACAGGGACGCCCATGCCGCCGTCACGGGGACGCCCACGCCAGCATCACAGGGACGCCCACACCACCATCACAGGGACACCCAAGCCACCATCAGGGGGACGACCATGCTGCCATCACAGGGACGACCATGCTGCCATCACGGGGACGCCCACGCCAGCATCACAGGGACACCCACGCCAGCATCACAGGGATGCCCACACTGCCATCAGGGGGATGCCCACACCACCATCACGGGGACGCCCACGCCAGCATCAGAGGGACGCCCATGCCAGCATCACAGGGACGCGCACGCTGCCATCGGGGACGCCCATGCAATGAGACTCACTGCTTGCTTCAGATGCCTCCTCCCCGTTCCTGCTCAACAGGCTCAAAAGGCAGGACTCAGGGGCCATCCCCCCTCTTCCTCCAAGAGGCCCACCCCTCAGGCAGGAGCGGGAGGTTGGACAGGGACACACACGCGCTCGGGCCCTCCTCCCTCTGCCCCACCCTGTACCAAGGGGCCCTGCTCCCTCAAGCGACCTGGGTGCCGGCCCGATGGCCTTTTCTGATGTTGTTTTAGAAAGTCGACACAGATAGCAAGCAGGAAAAAGGCTCTGAAGAGCCCTGGATACCCGTAAGCAGAGGGGCGAGCAGCCCGTGCTTTTCTCCTTTGCAAGAAGGTGCAGAAGAGCTGTGTGCAGGGCCCATGGAAGAGCGTGTGCCACCAAAGTGGTTCAGACAGGCGCTGGATGCACAGCGCATTTCTGCAGTGACGGGCGCGCCCTCTGGGAGACAGCCAGTGCAAGGCTCCCCCCGATCGCCCACTCGGCTCACTCCGCAGGGTGACCGCTTCTGCACTTTGCTAAGAAACAAACTGCCTTCACTGCACGGAGGTGAGGCCCAGAACAGCCATGAGTTGGCTCTGATTAGAAACGGAAGCAGAATCGATCTTAACGCTTGTAGATCAACGCCAAATTAAAAGCAAGAAGGAAGAGGCAGAAACCAGGTCTCCAATGACGGCTCTCACAAAATTACCCGCAAGTGGGCACTGCCCTCAGGACGGGATTATATCAGAAAAGCCGGGCCATTGGCTGTGGGCCGCTGACTTCCCAGAGAGGCTCCGGGGCCGCCTCCCTGAGGGTGAGCATCCTGGGCTCCGTCAGAGCCCCCCCAACCCCCAGAAGTGCAGACAGCCCCCAGCAGAGGCCCCGGGATCCTGCCCCAACCAGAAAGCCCGCTCACAACCTGCTCAGCCACAGACAGACAGGGGGGCTGGAGGCTGGCCTCTCCTCTGGGGGCGCAGAGCTCTGGGGGAGACCCAGCTCAGCAGACAGGGCCCCCCGGGCCAGGTCTCCCCTCCAGAGTCACCGGCACCCAGGGGGGGCCTCGCTGCAGCACCTCTGCCCAGGCCCTCTGCAGACCGGCCTTGTGACGCCCTGGACCTGGTCCCAGGGTCTCCCCGGGTGAGACTGGGCCACCCGGAGGCCTGACGTAACCCGGTGCCTCTGGAAGTGCCCTCCAGCCCTGACCGCGCCTGCCACTGGGGCAAAAGAGGGGCTTACAAAAGGCGGGCAGTATGGCCATTTCATCAATTCTCTGTGCCTATTTTCTTAAGCTAAAGTCCCGCTTCTTGATAAGTGGAGCGTCAGAGACACCGCAGGCCACTCCCACCTATGTTCCCATGGATTTTGTAAAAAAAAAAAAGACCCAGAAGTGCAACCAGCCATTGGGACGGCACATTTCAGCGGTCACCACCCAGGCAGGCCCCGGCCGGCCGTCCTGCTAACAAGCCAAGTGAGGGGGGGTGGCCTGGCTCTGGCTCAGTCCTAGGTCCTAAGCCCGAGCCCACGCCCGGGGCCCTGGTGTCCTGGACAGACATGCGGTCTCATACCTGCAGGCTCGCTCACCTGGGCGGGGTGTGGGTGCTGCCTGGGACAGAGCCAGGGCCTGGCTCTGGGCTGAAGTCGCCACCTCCCTCCCCCCCGTCCCCAGAAGTAAGCCTGGATTCCACCTGAGGTCCCTGGAGCCTGGGGCAGGTTTCATGCAAATACCTGGGACCTGGCCACAGAAAATGGAGGAGAATCCTCAATATTCAATCATTTTTCAGAAAACATCAATTCTCCACTCTCTGAAGTCCTAACAAGCCCCGGGTAAATACCAGCTGACCGTTTCTCTTCGATTTTTCCCAAAATCAGTGAGGTGCAAACCCCAACGTTTTAAATCTATTAATTTTTTTCTAGTTGGGTGTCAGGCTTGATGTGTGAAGGGGTTTTTATTTGATATTTATGGGACAAAAACTGACACAAGTAACTGTTCCCATGAACAGGCCCAGGCAACAGTGGTGCCCATTCCACCCCCACCACACACAGCTGGGAGAGACTGGGTTTTATTGACTTCCTTTATTTTCTTCCCTTGATCATTTTTATTATGAAACATAGCAGGATGGAAAAACTGTGTAAACAACACCGGTTTAATAAAACCTCAGTATTTTCCTCCATTTGCTTCAGACTCTATTTTAAGGAAGAGAATATTACGGACGACAGGGAGTGGGGTTCAGGAAAGGGACGCAGAGGAAAGAGAAAGTCTTAAAGGAAACTCAGCTTTCCTTTCTCCCGGGGGGAGGGAAGGGCTGCATATTTTCCTGCTTTCGCTAATGATGGTGCTGAATGCTGCCTGGAAAACATTATTACTGTGTATGACGGCAGGTTTTCTGGCTTTTCTTTCTGCTTCCCTGGAAGAGGCTGGAAAGCTTTTCTCCATTAACCGGTTAACCCGCCTAGTTCCTTCATGGATTAACAGGTGAGTTACTTAGCAGATCCCCTCAGGTTAGCTGGCCTTTGCTTTGTAAAGATAAAGCTGACTTTGTCTTCCTGGGTTACAGACACACAGACAGACAGACAGACACACACACAAACAGAATCACTGACAGAGTGAGCCTGCAGCTGTTTCATTGGGCACTTCAGGGCCCACGTTCACAGGTGTGGACTGGCTTGTGGCGTCTCTGACATCCTTCTTATCTGGTCAGGGAGCGGCATTTTAGCTCAAGAAGCAACAGAGAATTGATGAAATAACCACACTGCCGGCATTTTGTAAGCAGCATCACCTCAGCTGCCTTGATGGCAGGGGTGGTCAGGGGTGGCTCCCACTTAGGCGACGTGTCAAGGCGCCCTAAGATGTTACACGGGAACAAGGTCACCCCCAAGACACGGCAGAGCAGGCAGCCCTCCACCATCCGTTCACCGTTTCATGCTGCTGAGGATCAGTCACTCAGTCGTGTCCAACTCTGTGACCCCACGGGCTGTGGCGCCAGGCTCCTCTGTCCATGCAATTCTCCAGGCAAGAACACTGGAGTGGGCGGCCAGGCCGTCGTCCAGGGGATCCTCCCGACCCGGGCATCACTCGCGTTGCACTGGCAGGCGGCTCTTTACTGTCTGAGCCGCCGGGGAAGCCCTCACTGTACCAGGCCATCCCCCGTTTCTAACTTTTCACAGGCAAGGTAGGAAGACGATCAGAAATGTCCAATAGTTAACCTCTTCAAAAACTGAATATAAAACAACTTTGAGGGATCTGTTTCATTAACCTCAAAGATAGGATGGGCCTAACGTTTCCTACGCCTGCATCCCCACACGGCAGAAAAACTCCGGGCCTCCTGCTCTGTGCTGGGTGCCGGGGACTGTTCCCAGTCCAGCGGGCGGCAGGTCTGCCGTGCACGGGGACAGGAAGGGCAGAGGCGCTGGTGGACGCCCTGGGGAAGGGCCCGCACGGGGGCCGCAGCTCTGAGCGGGGCGGGGCGGACGAGCCAGCACCCAGATGGCTGGTGTAACAGGGTGGCCGGGGGGGCGGAGACACGGGAGGCGCCTGGACCGCTTGCTTGGGGCGCAGGGCCTGCATCCGCAGATCCTGGGGGCCCTACAGGTCCAGGTGGGGGTGCCAGCGGCAGGGGGAGGCCGGGCCTCATATGCAGAGGGGCTGGCATCAGGGTGCTGGGCATGAGAGACGGGGTGCTGCCACAGGGGGGCCGAGAGTGGAAGGGAGGATGCAGCAGGCACCCTGGCGTGCACGGGGTGGGAAGGACCGAGGTTCCCTGTGTTCACTGCACCTTTCCTCGGGTTCCCTTTGAGTCTGGAGCTGCACGGAACATAACGACGAAACACCCCCCTCCCCCAAGTCATTCCAGACACCAGAGCTGGTAGGCCCAGGGAGGGGATGGCAAGGAGACCCCCGGGCAACACCGTCCTGCCCGCAGTGAACAGAGGGGCGCCAGGCCGGGTGGCGGGGGTCACGGGCTGTCCTCACCATTACTGTTAGAAAGGGAGGCAAGGCCTGCTGGACTTTCCCCTTGTGTGGTTTCACATAAGACTTCATCCTCTGCTAAAGAAAGTCCAACGCAAAGAGAATGCAAAGCCAGACGTCACCTCCGCCGGACATGCTGTGCCCAGCGCCTGCCACTTCGGCACCTCAGGAGACAGCCCTGTAGACAGACACACGCGCCACCCCTGGGGTGGGCACGGGGCTGGGGACACAGGCCAGGCGCTTCTCCCCACCGTGAGCTCAGCCCCGGGAAGCCAGGTGGGCCCCCCAGGCAGCCACAGCCCCAGCTGTG